GACTCATGGTCATCCATCTCATTGGAAGGGCCTACCATTTGTGTTGTGTCCCCATGATCATCCATCTCATTGACATGGTCATGCTCATTGGTTTGCTTTGTCGGTGCGGGTGAAAGTGGAATCACTGCGCGTGAGGACAAAGGCTCATCCAACGAAGGTTCATCCCCACCATCAAGAGTCTCAGGTAGTGGTTTCAAAGGACCTTCAGGATGCTCGCTGAGTTCCTGAAGGCATTAGTTAGTCTTTAATAGTCGCAATTTAGAGGCATTAGTTATAATTTTAATAGTTGATTGAAGAGGAGACTTGCATAGGTATATAGGCATTAGTTTACACAGACTTGCCCATGGGAAGATAATATCACCATCGCATGCACACAGATCCGCAGCTTTGAGGTATATCATGTACTCAATGAACGATGGTCCCCAATGGCTTCGGAAGTCAGGACAGTCTCCAAATCTTCATGGGCGAAGCCTCGATGGAGCTGGGGATGGTCCTCCATATGGTTTTTTCTGATTTAGGAAACAAACAGATGTATCAACAGGACAAGTTATTGAGACAACACGATGTATCAAACATACACCGCAAGTTATTGAGACTCTCTTGGCAGCAGTCCTCGGGAGCATCGTCATTGTCGTGGTCCATCTGAGTATCGGCGATATAGTCCTGGCCACACACACAACGAAGCAGGTTTAAAAAGAAACATGGTGGTTTGGTTCCAAAGTGGTTGGGTTTCATAGATTTTGAACCATCTAGCGGATTGATGAACAGATGGTATGGGAACTCCTCAGGATGGACAACCCAAGTGGATCGAAATGAAAGGGATCAAAGAGTCCCAATTGATTGTCAGGCGTGTGCTCTTCAAAGGTCTCGCGGTTGTCAGGAACAGCAGGACTTTGCGGCTCCATCCACCTTGAGCTTGGCTAATCAAACCAAGGGGGCAGCCCTTTAAGTATCATGCGCTGGACTGTTTGGAACTGCCGCTGCGAATTCAAAACAAGTTACAGAGAAGCATTTTCCAGATGCAGACTTTGTGACCTCAATGTCAGAAAAACAAGAACAGAGAAAGAAACACACACGAAAGAAAGCAAGATAAAGAACCCAGAAGGAAAGAAGGAATGGACTAACAACAGAATCAAGACAGTCAACAATTGAAACAAGGATCACATAGAAAGCGTTTAGAGAAACTATACGACTAAAATGAAATCAAAGGACCTGTATTCACTGTAGGGTTGGTAGGACTCCGCATTCTCAATCATGTGCTGGAAGGGCAAAGGCTCCGCGGCCTGAACCGATGTAGACATGATGCAGTAGAGACATGGTTCTGCAAACTTTTGAGCAAGACCATCATGCAGGTTTCTTGCCTCGAGCCTTTTCTTGGTGGGTTTGGTCTTCTTCTTGGAATCACCATCTCCACCCTTCCCCTTCTTGGCACTGGCTGGTCGTTTCTTGGCCCCATCACCTCCCATCAGGTCATCCAAACCCTTCAAGCCACCAAAAATATCATCATCACCATCGTCGTCATCGTCACCGTTGCCACCCAAGGGTTTTTTGCAGTCATGTTCCTCATCATCATCATCTTCTTCTTCTTCATTGGCGTTCTTTTTCCTCTTTTTGGTCTTCTTATCTACCGTGTTTTCTTTCTGTTTCTTACTCTCCTTCTTCTCCCGTTTGGATGTCTTGGCTTTGTCCTTGGAGGACTCCTCAGAGGATTGGAATCGATCCGGCGCAATGTGGTCAAGCCTGGCAGCGCCTTGGCGTAGCAAAGACTTGGGGCAGGAGTGGAAGAGAAACGCATTGCAAGACATGTCCAATGGCCAATGGATTTCTGTGTTCCTGGTTTGCATTCAAAGCTTCTGGAGCTAGTCTGACCAGCCATCTGAGTTGATGGACGCGAAGGTTGACTGGTAGTGCGAGATGCTGTGTTTTGACTGGACTCCTTGAGGATTTTTGCCAAATCGAAAGCCTAGGTTCAACTATGATCAACTCAGACCTTGATTGAAGACCTTGGAATCATTGCTATGTATTGCATACTTTGAGGGGCATGCAAACATAATGCACAATTTTGCTACTGAGTAGCAGGTTTCCGTAGGCCCGCTGGTTGAGAGGTTGACACAATCTGCACATCTGATTCATCAGACGTGTTCCGACTCAACTTCTTCCTCCCATCCATGGCAGCTATCAACTGGTTTAATAGCAAGGGCCAGCAACTAGGACACTACTTCTTTCTGAAGCAAACATATGCAAAAATATAGTACACATCAAGATACCGCTTCTCCGCATGGGTCACTGCTTCTTTGCAGCTGCAGCTTAGGTGCCCAAATCAAAGAGCAAAGAAGAACAGCTGTGAAGGCAGGATTTTCATGTCTCACTCGGTCCGTGTTGCCCCAGACGCACACTCACGGCTAGTATACAAGTTTTCTGAAGTTGAACTGTCAACATTGATTTGTTTGTTTCAGCCAGAGTGTGAGAAGATACACATGGTGACATCACATGTCAAACCCCTTTCACGGGCCAAAGGCAGGCAGTTTACCTGCGCAGAAGACTTGTCCATGGCAGCCGGGTAGCCATGGCAGTGTGATAGCTGATTGCTACCCACCAGGAAACCATACAGTCACATAGTGTCAACTGATTTACAGCTAGTGGAATTGTCTCATCTTCCCATTTAGACTAAACTGAGCTGGATACTAGCTGGAATGAGTTTCAATTGAAAAGAGTATTGAATAGCACATGAAACTTCTCACACTTTCAAACAGTGGCTTGGGTTTAGCAATCTGCCCGGCAATATCCCGCACTACCCCTTGTTCGTGTGCAGGATCAAAACAGCTTGACCACGGTCTGATCAATGTCAAGGATTCCGGCGATGCAGGCGATCGGTCGAATGGGGACCAGCGTCTTAACACCACCTGAGCTGCTCGTGTCCAGCCTGCACAGTGTGAGTGGGGCTAACCTTTACAACTGGAAGATAACTATTATAGATAACTGCTAGTGATAAATAACATTACAAAGTGATAGATGAAGAACATCAAACCTCGCCTCACTCGCCATCCAATAATCAATTTGGAGGCTTTCTTGAGCTTGGAAATGTTCAGAACTGATCCAAAGCTCTTAGCAGTCAAAACGTGACCTGTACCTGATTTCCGCGGCTTCTTTTTTGGTGGTTTCCCATCTTTCTCGTGCTCGGGCTTCGGAGGGTCCATCAAGAATGCCAAGGGCTTGTCGCACTCCACCTTGTCCACAGAGGTG